AGTGGTGTCTAATTCAGATGTATGCATAGACTGCACTTGATGTTGAATAGTTTCACGTGAAGCAGATGTAAGGATGTCAGCAGCTTTTACATGGGCTTGTGATTCTTTATGTTCTTTGATTTTTTTTCTCAGGCTAGCTTGTTGTTTGCCCTTGTCAACACCGAAATGAGACACTGCACACTCACCCCATTCAGTTGACAGTTTCAGTCCTTGTCCAGTGTGTATTCCCAAAGATTTGACATCTCTGCATATCCGACATCCTAGCTTCTTATCTTTAAGAAGGAGCCATGCATTGGTCTTGCAAAAATATTGTACCTGGTCCGTTGTCCAGCAGTCAGGTGCATCGCTTTGCCCGGTGTTGGTGGTGGCAGTTGCGCCAGCAGCAGCTAACGTTAGAGGCTCTGGAGGAGGCGGCGGAGCTAGTGCTAATGCTAATGCACTAGAACTTGGAGCAGGAGGATCAACCAAAGAAAGCTCCCCATCAGACACAATTTCCAACACTGGCACAGCATTCTCTGTATTTGAAGTTTCTTCCGGCGACGACCACTGTCTTTTTGCACTTTTATTAATCCACGCTAACATTTTAGAAATGCTAATTTGTGACGTGACTTGCTTTCCTTCTCTCGGGGGCGTGCTTGCTCTGTTCTATCACTCTACATAGCCACCCACTGGGTGGGAGTTGCACTGCATAAACACAACACACGTGCATCTAGGTATGTAAATTGTAAAGCATTAAAACATGGTTTTACTAACAGTTTTCAGTATGTTGTTACTTCGGCATTATTATTATTATTTTGAAACGTGTATTACTATTAAATCACGGTCAAATAGGTTAATTTTGACATAGTCGTTTCCACCACAGTATTTACATGGAGAAGATAAGCCCCGCCCCCTCTCCAGCACGTTCTGTTTGAATGACAGGAGTAAACAGCTGACAGCCGCTGTGAAACTCCAGCGGTTAGAGCGATGAGAATGTCCGTTCGGCACCTCATGACGCATCTACTGAGTACCGGGCGGCTGTATATATATATATGGATGTATAATAAGAACGGCGGGAGAGTGTTGAGTACTGGCACGGTGCATGAGTACCGGAGTACCGCCAGCATGCCGGTACTGAGCAAGAAGTGCCGGTACTCCATGGGTCAGAACCAGAAGTGCCGGTACTGCGTACCGGTGAGTACCGGCCCAATTCCAGCACTGGTGCAGTTACTTTGGCATCAGGGCAGGGATATCTAGATACTTTCCAAGGTTTGACATCATGAAGTGTGCTACTTTTAAAGCAAGCAAAGATGTTTTCAAATCTGTAATCAAAAAGCTCCTCAAAAACACTATCGAAGCAGTTCCTGCCGTTGCTACGTATTCAAACAGTAACAACGGACTATTTTTCTTAGCGGATGCATGTCAATTTAAATAAATACATACGATACAAGTACAACTACTTTTTTAATCAATAAAATCATTTTCTAAATCCATAAAAGCATTTCAATTAATATTGGGAGTCATGTCGTTACTTTGTTGAGAATGTGGCCATGTAGTAAGCGGGATAATGTGCACATTGCACATTGCATAATGTGCCTTCATGCCGATCTAGATCCCTCAGCAAAAAAAACAATAACCGGCTCGTTCGCGGGCGCGAGCCGGCTCCCGTCGTTTCGTTCGCGACCGACACATCACTAATTAGAAGGAAAAATGGACTCACCATTACTGGAAGCTCGGCCATGCACCTGCCCTGGTTTGATCGCGGATGCCGGTCTCCACCACCTCTGCTTAGAGTGTTTGGGGGACCAGGATATGACCGAGGCGGTGCCATTCACGCATGGATGTATAATAAGAACTGGATACAGCGTGGGAGGCGGGGCGTCATTCATTCCTATGAGAGTTGCTCAATAGCGCATGATGACAAAATGGCCCAACTTTTGAGAGAGCGAAACGTCACAGATTACCCGGCATGCCTGAGAAGTACCCGTATGTGCGCTCATAGCGCATGCGCAACTTTAACCACGCCGCTCAAAAGGCACGTTCACATTAAGCACGTGAATTTGCGTACACGTAACAGCACCGCGCGTTCATGACAGCATGGTACTGGATTTATATTAACGAGGCGGCAGTTAGCAGTAAATGATGCTAATTTACACATCAATCGTTATATACTTTTATATTACGCTGACATCAGGATCTAGTGATATCCAAGCAACAGAGCTTCATTTAGCATGATACTTGTGTGGGTTGTACATGAAACCACTTGGTAATATATAAAAATGTATATGTTGAAGCCTGTTATGATCAATTGTGAGTTAAAACTGTATCTAAAAAGTAAAGCTGACGATGGATTACTGTGGTGGAGTTAAAATAACAATTGCCTATTTATTTTTGAAATGTTAAGTAGCCCACAAGTAACTAAAACGTATAATACTTGAAGGAATAATACTTGAAGGAAAGGTGTAAAATGTTCCCATAAATACCAATATCACAGTACAACACCCCTTGTTGTTAAATACCAACCATGTATATATATATATATATATAAAAATATACCGCTAAAACTAATATACCAGGCTGCTAAATCCTCCAAACTGTTACAGGATGTGTATTTTGTGAAATGTGTATTTGTTTTTAATTATAATTTCTTGTTTTGAATCTTTAATACTTTTTTTATGCATACTTTAAGTAACATTAGGCTGTCTTTGGCTCTTTTCTGCTGTAACAATGTAAATGTATTCTGATCTAATTGATGTTTGTCGGTTTGTTTCCCTATATTGCGACACTTATTTGGTTTAAGATTATTTCTCCTTTTTTTACAGACATCCCCAACCATAGTGGAATGCTGTTCTAAAGGACTGCATTGATCCGTGCATCAATACCTTCACCCAGCTTTGAGGCCTCCAATGAATGAACATCATCTTGTGGCTGGGAAAAATGTGAACAAATAAATCTCACAAAGAGTGACTTTCTGGTGGAATCATTATAATATCAAAGACAAGCACTTTAAGTAACAATATATAAAATCATTCAGCAGCAGAGGATGGGGTGGAAACAGCATTTCTAACTAAGATGATTACAATATTACAAGTTAAACAACAAGATGAACATACTATTATTAATTTAAAAAGTACATGGGAGACTTAAATATCCTGCAATATACCATTAGCAGAATAGGAACAAATGTGCCAAAACATTTCTAAAATAAACATAAACATAAACTGAGGGCTTTCTTCCTGAGCCGCTGGGAGTAAAGGTCCTCCATGGATGGCAGCTCCGCCCTGGTGATGTTCTGTGCAGTTTTCACCACCCTTTGGAAAGCCTTACGATTGAGGGCGGTGCAGCTGCCGTAACAGGCCGTGATGCAGTCGTGTCCGTGATGGACACTGAGGAACCTGAAGCTGCTGACTCTCTCTACCGTAGTCCCATTGATGGCGATGGGGGGCGTGTCCCGCTCTTTGCTGCTTCCTGCAATCCACAATCAGCTCCTTGGTTTTGCTGACGTTGAGATGGAGGTTGTTATCCTGGCACCAAGATGTCAGGTTTTCGACCTCCTCTCTGTACGCCGTCTCGTCGCCATCTGTGATCTGGCCGATGACGGTTGTCTGTTACGATCTCAGGCACTCAGGATGTTGGACCCAATTGCAGACAGGGAGACAGAGGTAAAGTATTGGTAAGATACTTTATTTTTCCAAGAAAACACGATGAACAAAAAAAGGTCACTAACTAATCTCAGGATGAGATGACAAAAAATGAGACCAAAAGGAAAATCGCTCACGTAGTGAGGAACAAAACTATTCTTGAGCATAAAAGAGCATAGACCTGACCATGGCAAGAGACAATACAAACTGACACTGAACACTGGGAGACAGGGGAATTTAAACACAGGGTAACTAGACACAGGTGGGAACAATCAGGGGCGGGGCTGACACTGATGAGCACAGGAGACACACAAGGAGTGACAGGTGAAAACAATCAGGAAATTAGACACACCAGGGAACTAACGACAGACATGAAAACACGGAAAAGAGACCAGACAATATACAGGGAGGAAAACATGACAAGGAGAACGGAAAAACACCCACACTTAGACATAGACACGTGACATGACATAATAATCCTGACATTGTGTCGTCAGCACGTAGGCCCATACCAGTTTTGTTGAAGTGGCTGCGCTTCCTCCTGGGCAGCATCCAAAATGGAGAAGAAAGAGAACAGACACACCACAGCTGGGTGAGGCTGGTGAGGCTGGGGAAGATGAGTGAGGGAAAGAGAGAAACAAAACAGGGGGACTAAGATGAGTGAGGGAAAGAGAGAAAAAGACAAGGGGACTAAGATGAGTGAAGGAAAGAGAGAAAAAGACAAGGGGACTAAAGTTTAAGAGAGAGGAAGAACACAGAATGTGAGTGAACAATTTAATTAAATTACACATTTAAAAAAAATAGTGTGAGTAAGTGAAGACATCCTTACAAGGAGGACTGCCCTGTCAAATTTAAAAGTTATTCTTGTTAAATATACATATCCTGTTGAGGCTAGAATCCAAAATGCAGAACCACTCTAGATTGTAGCCTCAAGGGACTGTTTAAGGTTACTTAAAAACATATAATTTCCCAAATTGGTGAAATGAACTCCATCTCTTAGAAATATGCCAGGGCAGTCAAACTTAATGCAAGGATGCCTTACACTCTCTCCACCCAAACCACTAACACATTTACCCATCTCTCTGTTCACCCACATTCTGGCCTTGTTCAGCTTTCCCGGATTGGCTTTCCTCCAGTGACATCTCTCATTGATAGAAGATAGAATTATCTTCATCTCTGAGCAGTTGTCACTGAGGGAAAGCAGGTCCTGCTTCATCGCTGTGACAAGCTCCACACCTTTGATGTTGCCAAGGTTGTTGCCGCCACAGTGGATGAGCAAGACATCCGGGACTGTTCTTCCTCTCAAGGACTGATAGAAAAAGGGAAGAAGGTTCCTCCACCTCAGACCACCCTTGCCAAACCACCACACACGGCAATTTAGACCCAGGTTGCTTCCCATGGTGTGTCTGGCTCTTTCTTCCCCACGTCTAACGTAGCTGCTCCCTATTATCCACACATTGGGACCTAGATAGAATAAAATATATTGAAAAAGGAAAAAAAAGTGTTTACTGGTGATCATCTTTTAGAAAAAGGCGGTACATGTAGTACAGTTGTCATATCATTTTCATCATATTTTTAAGACTACACAAGTTTAATTTGTATAATATATTACATATAACTCTATACTTGTATATAGAATCATGATGAAACTTTATAAGGATTAAGATTATATATTAATATTACATTAAATAATGCATGACGATTTCATGCATTATTACGAATCAGGATGTATCAAGTCACTGACTTTTTGTGATAAGGTCACAATCAACTGATTTCACTTATCAGATGTAAAAATAAGGTACACTATATTTGTTTTTGCCATATGAAAGTAAAGGGTATGCAATCAAAAAATTACTGAAACAAAATGAATACAAATTCTTATAAAAACTATACAGCACCTTGTCCAAGAATGGCGGGAGGCCCACTTTCCTTCAGGATTTCCTCTCTGGATGTCGATCCGGCTATTTCTGCCATCTATAAATAAAGTACAAATGATTAGCTCTTCACGCCTCTTTAAAATAATATGTGTTCTTGAAGATTCTGTATGCATCGTCGTTTACAATGGTAGGGACATTGCATTGGAAATTAGTTGTGAAAAAGATGTCATTTTTAGTTTTTTCATCTCACATTTATAGATTTTAAATACAAATATATATATATAAAACGAATTATAAATGCAAAGTCTGGTTTCTAGAAAGTTAGCTAATGCATACATTTCTAGCATTTTGGTTAACTATGAAAAGTATGGAAAATTACTGTGCAAACACCCAACATTAGCTTAGCCACAGTAGCGGTTGCTGATGAGTAGGTTTGGCTTATTTTACTGTTTTATATGAGAACATGTTACATTACATACAGACATTAAGGAGGCAGGTTAGAAAATAAATATGTTTTCGTCTCTTACCTTTTGGAGCAAACTGTTGTCGGTTGTTAGCATAGACTGTATATAAAGCGTTGTCTCTTTAGCCTCAGTGACGTAACAGTGAACACTGAACGTGACCGCGTGTGAAGGGGGAGGGGCGCGGGGGATTTAGGTCTGGGCTGCGCTAAATTCAGCCTCTCTTTCCAACATCTCCTGTGGCGGCAATCCACATTCTATACTATTCTATACTTCCTTCTATATATGTATGAGCTCTGTATGTGTTTTATTTTCCTTATGACTGTTGTAAGTAAACTTTTTTATTCTATACTTCCTTCTATATATGTATGAGCTCTGTATGTGTTTTATTTTCCTTATGACTGTTGTAAGTTAACTTATTTATTCTATATCTTCTTCTATATTTGTATTTGAATGTATGTCACAGTCCTCTGTTTATTTATTGTTAAGCAACGCAACACATGGTTTTCAACAGTGGAACGATTTATATGAATGTCAACAGCAACATCCCAAGCTTCTTTCTAGCCAATATTCATTATGTTGTATTTGTACCTTCAACTGTAACTGAAAGTTCAATTTGGTGTATTTTGTTTGCAAGTCTGTGTTCAACATACTACTTGGAGTACGCTTAACGCGGCACAAGTCTGTACTGAACATGGACACGCAAAATTCTAAACATGTATTTTTTCATATCTGATACCAAATCTTGCATCAATATTGCCACACTGGAGATGTATATTAGTTATTTAGAGTTTAGTGTTCAATGTATTCAATGTATTCAATGTGTTAAATGTATTCAATGTGTTAAATGTATTCAATGTATTCAATGTATTAAAATAACTATCCAAACATTTTATATGTAAGTTATTTATATGTATGTAAGTGTTGTCTCGTGTGTATGTACTGTTTGTGATCGTTGTTGTGTCCTCACTCGTGGCCTGCACCTTGACGTGGTGAGTGGGCTTTAAACTAAGACAGGCCATTTATGTTTGAAATATCATGCTAACAAACCTACAATTTCAGAATTGAATGATAGTGGTTATATATGTTCATGTCTTGCTGACATTATTACAATTTTTTAAATGGTTCTCCTCTCTCCTGCAGTCAGCTGTGATTCCAGGTGTTCATGCTGCCACCCGCCTCCCCCCCATCCACCTCCTTTCATCATATCCAGTACCAGGAGAGCTAATCCAAAGACCTCATCACACCTCCTCTTCATCCCATCTCCTCATCAAATCCAGATCTTCAGCATCATCATCACCAGTGTCTAGACCCCGGGGGTTTCCCTATATGCTCACGGTTGCATTTCCCCTCTTAGATATACGATTTCAGGATCGGGGTCTAATCGCCAAAGACTTAACATTTATTATATGACATGTGTCAATAAATGTTCTTTAAACAAAATGAAGTCTCTCCTGATTGAACTGTCTGGACCCCATCCTCAACTATAACATGCCTTCAGAGGGCTTTCCTGTTGATAATGTTTGGTGGATTTTTTAATAGAATAATTGTAATCAATATTATATTACCTTTTAATCTATATACATTTTATTAACATTTTTTGTCACTATTTTGTTCACCTTGTTCTACTATGCCAGCCATCAGAGGTATACATTTGTTAACATCTCTTTTAGGTTTCATTTCTTATATTTGTGAATTTCTATATAAAATGCTAATTTCTACCTGAAATGCTTATGTATTTTTAATTACATTTTCGTAAAGCTTTCACTTTTTCAGCGTAATAAATATTATAACTGGTTTTGTTCAGCATTGCCAGCTTCACTGTTGAGCGTGATGTTGTGCCCAGCATTCTCCTGGATCCAATCAGCCATCAGACTCAGGTGCACAGGCAGATACCGATCAGCTGCTGATTAGCTGTGCAGAACACAGGGAGAAGAGAGAAACACAGGAGGGAAGGCAAACCACACAAGTACAGCCTGCCTGGCACGTAACACCCCCACACATATTAATCCAAACAGTATGTTTGGACCTGACAATAAACATTTACAAAGAAAATAATTTCCTGGTTATCTGGAAGATGAGACAAGTAATTGGGCAAATCAGGCAATACCTCAGTATTGCTTAGTCTTGCCCCCTGTGGTGTTGCACTGCGCATCACCAACTCATCCTCATTTAAGCTCAACCTCGAAACTGAAGCCATAGAAGAGACGGTTGTCTCCCACCTGGTGAGCTTTGGAAGACTCACTTTGGTCTTCCCTGGTGCAGTACTTCTTCAGCATGTTGATATGACACACTCTGGTAGGACGTCTGCGGTCAGGTGTTTGAATGACGTTTGTTTCACCGAGCTTCTTATCTACAACATAAGGACCAGCAAATTTAGTAGACAGAGCAGAACCAGGTACAGGCAATAGAACCAACACCTTGTCACCTGGCTGAAACAAGCGCGCTACCGCCTTCTGGTCATAGCGTTTCTTCATGTTCCCCTGGGTAGAGGTCAGAGCTTCCCTAGCCAAGGAGCAAGCATGATGTAGACGATCCTTACGTTTGGCGACATATTTCCGGGATAATGCAAGCTTTTTTCGTTGGCATGATCAAATGCTCTTTAAGAACTCTTAAAGGACCTCTGACCTCATGTCCAAACACTAGCTCAGCAGGACTAAAACCTAGAGACTCCTGAACAGCTTCACGGGCAGCAAATAACACTAAAGGAACACCGTTATCCCAATCTTTATGAGACTCGTGGCAATGTTTTCTTAACATGCATTTCATAGTCTGGTGAAACCTTTCTAATGCCCCCTGACTTTCAGGATGATATGGGCTGGATGTCACATGCTTGATACCTAAGGTGTCTAGTACCCGGGCAAACACCTTAGACATGAAGTTGGTACCTTGGTCTGTTTGAACTACCTTCGGTAGACCAAACATGGAGAAAAACGTCATAAGTGCCTTGGTGATGACCGGGGCAGTGATTTTCCGTAGTGGGATGGCTTCTGGGAACCTAGTGGAAGCACACATGACAGTTAAGAGAAACTGGTTTCCAGTTTTAGTTTTAGGCAAGGGTCCCACACAATCCACAATCACCCTTTCAAATGGCTCTCCCATTACTGGAATAGGAATGAGAGGAGCAGGGTGAATCACCTGATTCGGTTTACCAACAACTTGGCACACATGACATGTTCGACAATAAAGAACTACATCAGACTTAAGTCCTGGCCAAAAGAAGTGTTTTAAAACTCTTTCATACATTTTTGTTACCCCCATGTGACCTGACCACGGATGATCATGAGCCAAGGACATCACCTGAGAACGATAAGCTGTTGGCACGACAACCTGATAAATTGCAAAGGAGTCTGACTCCTCACAGGCATCACTAATCCAGCGACGCATTAATAGGCCATCTTCCATAATGTAAGCCATCTTCTTTGACTTGGCCTCTTCCTGACTGATAACAGAAGAGACATTTAGAAAGTGTTTCATCACTTAACTGGGCTGCCATGAATTATTCCCGAGTGGCAAGCAGTTGTACAAGCTCTGAGCTGTTACTGGGTGATCCTCACTCTGGGCCTGTTGCTGATGAAGGAGCCTGCAGTGTTTAGCAACTAATTCACTTTGTATTGTCTGACCTTTTTGAAAGTGTGTGTGTTGAGAGGTGGAGGAGTTAGGTAAGTCTGGGGTACCCTGTACATTTCTCACCACGTAGCTAACTAATGTTTAGACACACTAGGTTAGCGGATTGTTGCCACCCCTGTATATTGTTTTGTCAAAGTCTTTGTAGTTTAGTTAGTGAGGGTTTTTGTTTGAGTTTTGGTTTCAAAGGATAGATGTAGAGATAGGCCTGGTTTTGTTATGCTTGTTTATTTTGTTTGGCACAATCCTTTGACTCCTCCTCCTCCTCCTCCTCCTCCTCCTCACCAACAGAGTGTTTCAGTTATATGTCTGTTCGGTTCTGGGTTTACTTAAAATAAACCTTTTGTCAATTTTTACGCTGACTCCCTCATTCTTATTGGTTGTATGTTATTGTCTCCAGGTCCCCTAGACCTTAGTGGGGACGTAACAAATGGGGACTCGTCCGGGATCTGAACCCGGGACCTCTCGCACCCCAAGCGAGAATCATACCCCCTGTGTGTGTTGAGAGGTGGAGGAGTTAGGTAACAAATGGGGTCTCGTCCGAGATATCTATTTTACTGAGCTAAAAACAACCAGTAATTGAGAAGTTATCGTAGGTGTTGTACATTGGCTGAAAAATGGGTTTTGACTTACAGGACTTTATTGAAAGTCCAAGTGTTGATAAATTGTATTCCTGTCGCAAAGATGACATGTTATGTATTGCAGCTCACTTTAGCATTTCAGTAGACAAGTATAAAGTAAAAAAAGAGATAAGAGAGAAAATCCTGCAAAAACTAGAGTTAAAGATTCTTGTAATCCCAAGCATGGCAACTCAGCCTAGGGCTGAAGTGTCTATTGAAGATGATAGGGAAAGTGTATTAGCTACACCTAGAGTTGACAAGTTTAGTCCTGAAGCTCCTCCTGCAACGCTTCCTAGGTTTGAGGCTTTCTCTCCGGGTAGCTTAGGTGCAAGTAGTAATGCCAAACTAAGAGTTCGTCCCTAACCCTAACCCTAACTGGTGGAATAGCACCCATTGACTAGAGTGGCCGCAATCGCTAAAAACGCCGCAGCCGCAGCGCAACGCAGCGCAACGCAGCGCAACGCAGCGCAGACGCTCCTGGTGGGATTAGGGGGTAAGCCTGTTCATTTATCCATGTTTAGTTCTTGTTACTAACGTCATGTTTAGGTGTTCGTTATCAGGTTTATCCTAAAGGTTTCATGTTTAGTTCATAGCCCATGGTTAGGGTTAGGGTTTAGTCATGTCTCGTTGTTAACGTGTTCATTTACTGTCACTTGTGTCTTGTCTCATCTGTCATTGCACTTCCTGTTTTATTGACCCCTCCATCTCTTTTCAGAGCTCTTGACGCAGCACTGAAAACACTTGTAATCCACGCCCACCTTCGGACTCACTTCCGGTATAAATAGGAAGAAGGCCCGACAATCTGCTCCCACTTTTCTTCAGCACCCCAGTACTGAAGCACTGTAGAGACACTAAAGAGCA